CAGACTCCCTGCTGAGCAGGGAGCCCGATGTGGGACTCGATCCCGGGACTCCGGGATCATGACCTGAGCTGAAGGCAGTTGCTTAACCAACTGAGCCACCCAGGCGACCCCTTCATCAGTACTTTTATTGGTATCCCTTCACTTACTGTACAAGTATTGTACTACTTACACATTTTACTATCTGATAGGGCAAATTTCTCTTCATTACTTCTTAAAACTTTTTCCTATCTATTCTTGAATTTTTAAGTGTTTTGTCAGGTTCTCCCAATGATCTCAATGAGATGGTTGGGATCACAGTAAGTCTACTCAAGTGAAAAGGCTCAACATTTTTCAATCTTCCTTATCAATATGGAAAATGGACTGTGTCTCACTTTATTCAGATCTACTTGTATTGTCTCAAAGTGTTTAGAGTTAGTCCTAAAAATCCTTACTGTTCTTGTTAGGACTATTGTCAGGTGTTTTATTTTTCTTTTTGTCACTATTGTAAATGAGGCCTTTTTCCATAATGATTCCCAGTCACTTATCATTGAATCAAAAGGAAGCTATTGAATTATTGGAGATAACTTGGAATACTGCCACTTTGTTGAGTTTTGGTTTGGTTTGGTTTGGGGGTTTTTTTGAGAGAGAGAGAGAGAGCACACATGCAGGGGGAGGGGGGCAAAGAGAGAGGGAGAGAGAGAATCTTAAGCAGGCTCCATGCCATGACCCTGAGATCATGACCTGAGCCGAAATAAAGAGTCAGACACTTAACTGACTGAGCCACCCAGCACTGTTGTTGAGTTTTCTTATCAAAGCAAACAGGTTTTCCACTGATTCTTGTTAGGGCTCTAGTTAGATTGTCATCATGCACAGCCAATATGATTATCTGGAATCTTCTTTCTCATTAGAAATGCTTCTTATTTCTCCTTCATGCTCAAGAGTAGAGGTGATGACAATTGCTTGGTTCATTTTTTTTAGGTGCATGATTCTTAATTAGCAAAACAGAACATCCATACTCATGCTTTGTGCCAGAGAACAGAGCTTTGAGCTGGTTACTGTTTAACTATTATCCAAACAGTCCAGAGAAATGGTGCTTAGGGTGGGTAGTTTGAAGGACATGAATTGATTATCTGGTAGTTTAGATTTTATCCCTGCATCTGGAGGGATAAATTGGAATGTCAGAGAGCCCCCACTTGCTCTGCACTGTGTTGACCCTGCAGAGTTGACTTTGCAGAGTTGTGCTTTGCCTTCCTCCCTTGATTTACATCAGGAATGGTTTAAAACCACCTGAAAAATCTATCACGACTATTTTCAAGGGTTTTCTTTAGGTCATTGTCCATGTCATCACTTAGTAACCTAAACATAAAGACAGACCTATGATTAAAAAAAAAAACCTGCAATACTACAGTTCCAGAAATAGTTGTTGGTGTAACTCATTAATGTTAGATTTGGAGGTCCCTGGTCCTCCAAATTACACAGTCTAAAGTGTTGCAGGGCTAGGTTATCCAAAAGGGGCCCTGGTAGCGGAGGGGTTGAGTTAATTCCTAAATGTCTAAGCAGATAAAGTTACATTAAAACCAGCCTGTTCAATATGGAAAACAAGAACACATCTGAGTGAAAAAAGTCAGAGGAAGGTCTCTCTACCAGAAGAAAAGAATAGATATATGGATCATTAATAGGAGTCCATTTATATGAAAATAAAAGCTATGTGCTTGTACCCTACTCCCAAATCCCCTCATTGAAAAGTGGTTTATGATCATAGCTTTGGCTTTTATGAGAGATTATTATCAGAAATAACTATATGAGAATTGTTTCTGAATTTCTTATAAAAAATACTGTCAAGAACCTCATCCAGAGGTTCCCAGATGAAAATTTTCATTCAAGAATTTAGTTATGGGAAATCATTGACTCATTTTTCAAATTCCAGTGTTTTCTCCTTTGGGGTAATGATATCTGGGTATTACTGAGTTTGCCTTTTCTCACCCCCACCCCATCCACACTGCTAAGAAGCTCAGAACAAAATGTGCCACTCAGACAGAGTGATTATATGAGCCTCAGTTGACATCTTATTCATTTTCATGAATTTGTTAGCCTTATCATTAATACTTTATGTAAGTCATTCCAAATGTTTTTGGAAAAAAGTCCAGGTATGCATGGCATTTTGTTTCTATTGTTAGGTGGTTATTTTTCATGGCTCAGATAAGGTCTATGATTGAGATAATGCACAGAGTGGGAGTTGCTGGGGCAGCCCCCTCCTGCGGTTAACTTAGATAGGGATTGCAACTCAGCCACATAAAAGAAGCCAGAGAGGTTCCTCACCACTGTTGGGAGGCAGTGCCACTCAGCCTCTAAGATTAGATTGGTTTCCTGAGGGAACCCAAGCCCAGATTGCCAGATTTTACACTTTTTCAAGAAAAGCTAGAATTCAAGGTTTAAAAGGGAATCCTGGTTTTTTGAAATGTTGACAACTAGTTCAAATTCTTTAAAAGACTGGACCAGCAGAAGACAGGATGGTGGCTGACGAGGAATAGGGGGAGACATGAGGAGTTGTTGCTCACTGGGTAGAAGTTTCTGTTCTCCAGAATGGGTAAGTTCTAGAGATTTGCTGTACAACAGAGTGCCTGTCATTAACAACATAGTATTGTGCATTTAAACTGTGGTTAAGAGGTTAGATCTCCTGTTAAGCACTCTTACCACCACCACCGTCACCACAATAACAAAAAAGAGTACACACAGGGAAACTCTGGAGGCGAGGGGCATGTTTATTACCTTGACTGTGGTAATGATGTCATGGGTGTATGCATATGCCCAAATTCATCAAAGTGTATACATTAAATACATGCTGTTATATGTGTGTGTATCACATACACATTTTTTTAAAACACAAAAACTCTGGACCAAGCCACCATCTGTGACCCAGACCTGGGCCTCTGGGCTCTGAGACGTCTGGGAGCAGGTTTCAGAAATCCAGTTACCAGGAGACAAAGTAGGAACTCTGTCACCAGGGAGCTGATGTCATAATGGCATGGAAGATCACCCTGACTTTGACCTGAATAGTAAAGCTCTTGGTCTGAGAAACCAGAAGCTGGGAGGTCTGTCTCGGATTTTGTGGGCATGATTAGTAGAAAGAGGCCTGCTGCACTTGAGATCTGGGAACATGGCCTTGGTCTTGACTCTGCCACCAAGGAATCCCATGCAGGCTTGGTGAGCCCATGGGATTTCCTGAGGCCTCCGTAGCACTCCCCGCACTTAGAGGAGGTTAGGTAGGATATGTGAACCTTTCAAATTCTTTATTTCCCAAAGCATCTTATCAGAAACCCCAAATGAGAAAAGAAGTCTCCACTCATCTTTAAATCATGTACTTTTACAGAAGAATTGTCTAAATTTCCAATGTTGCCACTAACACCAAATGAACTGAATTTTCAAGAGTGAATTCCAAAAAAATCATGATCAAAAAAATAGGAGACAGGTAGACTCCTAATCTCCACCAAAGGAAATTCTAATATCACCCTTTCCTACCAACGAAAGCATGGTCACATCATGCTTTCGTGCTTTTACTACTTTTTGAAAAGGTGGAGTTAACACTTCATCATTTATGAGCAGGTGTCATTCAGACATATACTTTCGTTATGTCTCATCTCTTTTCGTAAATAAAAAAATCACAAACTATAACCAGCTGACTGTTAACAGTGCTTTCAGAATTCACAATTACTTTAATTCTGCAATGCTTGCTTCAAGTTTTTCTTTAATAGCACCACAAAATTCTCCCACCTTTTCTTCTTTTTTATAAAACTGAAAGGTTGGGATGCAAATGATCTCCAGGTCTCTCACCAGCTCCTCACACTCATCAGCATCCACTTCCAGGAACACCACATCCTCATACTTCAAGGACAGGGACCGGAAAAGGGGCCTGATGGTCCTGCAAGGCCCACACCAGGTGGCTGAGAAGTCCACGGCTACCAGCTTCTCCCCGGCCTCCTTGAGTGCCAACTCAAAGTCCTCCTTGCTCAGGATCATTTTCACCAAGTCCACCTCCAAGAGTTCCATTGTCTCTGATGGCTTCTGGACACTGCCTTCTATGGGATGGATGGCTTCTTCTGAGGACTTGGGAATGTCACCCTTCTTGGACTGGATGGTTTCCTCTGAGGACTTGGTGATGTCCCCCTCCTTGGGGTGGATTGTATCTTCTGAGGACTTGATGTCACCCTCTCTGGGCAGGAGGCTTTCCTCTGAGGACTTGGAAGTGTGGCTGTGCTTGGACAGGATGGTTTTTGCTAAGACCTTGGGGCTGTTGACCTGCTTAGACTGGAAAGCTTTTGCTGACAACTTGGGGGTGTTGGCCCCTTTGGGCAGAATGGATTTTGCTAAGAACTTAGGGCTATTGCCCTGCTTAGGCAGGATGGATTTTACTGGGGAATTGGTGTCACCCTGCTTGCGTGGGATGTTCTTTTCTGAAGAAGCAGACGTGCCATCTTCCTTTGGCAGGGTGATTTTTTCTGAGGAATTGGAGATGTCATCTTGTTTGGGTGGGATAATTTTTTCTAAAGAATGGAGGGTGTCAGCCTGCTTGGATGGGATGATTTTTGCTGAAAAATTGGGGGTGTCAGCCTGCTTGGGGGGGATGGTTCTTACTGAAAAATTGGGGGTGTCAGCCTGCTTGGGTAGGATGGTTTTGGCTGGGGAATTGAGGATATCAGTCTGTTTGTATGGGGTGGTTTTAGTTGGGGAATTGGAGGTATCACCCTGCTTAGGTGGGATGATTTTTGTTAAAAAACTGGAGGTGTCAGCCTGCTTGGGTGATAGGGGTTTTGCTGAGAAATTGAAGATGTCAGTCTGCTTGAGTGGGATAATTTTTTCTGGGGAGTTGGGGGTGTCAGCCTGCTTGGGTGGGATTGTTCTTGCTGACAAACTTGGAGTATCAGCCTGCTTGGGCAGGATGGGTTTTGCTGAAAAACTGGGGATGTCAGCCCGCTTGGGCTGTATGGTTTTTGCTGAGGAATTGGAGATGCTACCGCCCCATACAGGGGGAAATATGTCCTTGGGCTGTGGACCTCTGGACTCCTTTGCAGGCATGTGTTGTATGTTGTTTACCTCACAGGCCAAGGCCTTCTCCTGGATATGTGCTGGGTCCAAGAATTCTGGTACCAACGGAGTCACATGGCTGGACAGACCCTGTAATAATGCACTTTCTGAACAAATAAATAAATAAATAAATAAAGTGCAAAAGAAGAAACAAAAAAAATTCTTATCACATACTCTGGGGAAGACAAATGTCATTCTTAGAGCCTGCAAATGTAGTTTTATGAATGATGTATCAACTTGAATAATCACATTCAACAGAAGGCCAGGCAGCATGTGATTACACTGATCTTTATATAGAGTTGTCTTTTTTAAAACTACAACTTTTCTCTGCTTCAATACTGCTGCCTTCTCCCTAAGCATGTAGGTCCCTAAGGTGGCCCTCCTCCCTCCCACTTACCATTGGCATCACCTTGACTGGTTTCTTCTTGTTTCTCTGGACTCATTTTCGGTTCTTCTGGGACTCCCTCTCTATCACTTTCCACTTCCAGTCTCTTGTCCATAGCCACTCATACTTCATGCATGCCTCACAGTGAAGACGAGGTTGTACCCTCCAACTTCTTCCAAACTCGCCAACCTACATCATACGACAAGTAACAGCTTACATGTGGGTAGTACTTACAGCTGGTTTTCCCTCTTGGTACTCACAACAGTAGCATTTGAAAGTTTCGTGACAGCCTTGGTTATGGCGGCCAAGCTGTGCATCAGCCTGAGCCCAGTGCCTGCTGTGCGTTCACAGGCATTATGTCCTGTAACACAGCAAACCACTGAGGTAAGTGCCATTATGATCCCCACTTTACAAATAAGAAAGTTGAGCCTTGGGCAGGTTATGTAACTTGCTCAAGGTCACAAAGCTAGTAGGTGGGCAGGTTCCAAGCCTGTCCTCCAAATACTATCCTGAACTGTTCTGTTTGCCAAAGGATGGTAACCCAAAACCAACTTTCCTACAACCTCCCTCTAGGACTCTTCAGCCCCAGCTTCCCCTTTCTGACTCACCCACCATAACCATCTGAGTGTCTCTTCCTAGCCATGTTACCCTCCTCTACAAAGTCCTGCCTGACTGTCAGGTGTCCTGTTTGACCTATTTGGAAGGGAGTAGATTATGACATGGAGAAATTCCCTAACTGAGAAGAAGTGAAAACATCACCCCTTCATTCCAAATAGATGGGGACCCAAGAGAAACAGGTACATGTGTCCTGGCCTCCCCTCTTCAAGAATGAAACCTCAGCATGGATCCAGGTTAGATGTGCTCAGAGGAAAGCTGACAGCAGAGGGGTATTTACCTGGGCTCCATTTGGGAGGCCAGGAAGAGCCCACATCCTCATTGACTCCATATCAACATGGCAGTGTGGGCCCCTGGCAGAGGGCATGACTGGGTTCTTGGGCCTGGGGCAGGCTCCTGGCCCCATAGCCTGCTGTGCGCATGCCAGGGATCTGGATATCCTACAGTGGGGCTGGGAGTGTCCTGGGAAGACCAGCAGACCTACGGGGAACTCAAGGAAGAAGAAAGAAGCTACTGTGAAGGGGGATTTGTGACCAGAGGCAAGGACTGGAGTCATAGGCTCGACCAGTGGGTAAGAACATGGTGGCCCACCCCCAAGGTGGGACCAGTGGTCCTCAGCAGTCCTCAGTCTAGGGACCAGGCCAGACTAGCCACTTCATATGGGAAACCAGAGGCAGAGGGATGGGCCACAACCAGACCACACGACCCTGTGCACCCAGATACTATGGAGAAATGGGAGGAATCAGAAAGACTGAGCTGCTACCAGAATGAAAAAGTGTTCATCAGGCTGAAATTTCACAAACAGGCAGATTGAATCCTGCCCCTCACCATTCCTCCTCAAATCCCCTAGAGATAAGGCTCATGGAGAAAGTAGATCCCCTGTAGAAAAAGTTTAAGGCCACATTCTATTTGCATATCTTCATAAAAGTGAGGAGATCTCTGACCCTGTTGCATTTATACTTGGGGGATCTGAGCTGTGTTTTAGATTTGGCAGAATGGTTCCAATTATTTCTACTCTTCATTCTGCAATTCAGATGGAGTCCAAGCAACTTGAAATATCGATGCCTCTGAATAATTTTCATTCAACTTGTCAAAAAAATGTACTTTCAGGAGAAAATTTCCTTTAGCACAAGCTGGTCCCCAAATTGCTCATGAACCCTTATGTCAGTTGTGGTTCTGTCATGGAAACAATAAATCAGCTATTTTAGGCACAGGAAGATTTATCTAATTATAAAATAGCTGGAAAGCCTGCCTCTCGGCTATGTGTCCTAGAATAATTTCTAGAAAAATGAGCAGCACTGCAGAACTGGCCTGCCAGGGTGTAGCGGCCTCCATGATATCAGAAAGGCAGGGAATCAGAACGTTGTTGACTCCAAGAACTTTCGCTCTAGCTGCAATCCAAGGGGGAGACAGCCACTGCCCAACCCCCTCTTAGCTCAGAGCTAGAGCTGAACGCCCCCGGCAGAGAGGGGCAAAGCTGCAAGATGATGGCTTTCTTCCCATGCAGGTCCGTCTACTGGCAGAATCTATTTTGCACCCAGAACCCCAGGGGAGTCCAAAAAATGTGGTTTTCGGATTTCCAGCCTCCGCAGTATAGGGAAGCACACTAGAATTTGGAATAAATACTGTGTGGAAATTCATTTCTACCCCATGCTTACAAAGACAACGTGGCAGTCTAGCTTTTATACATTATGCTGGTGTAAATTTTTTGGTTTTATAATTGCAAAAATAATACATGTTTATAATAGAAACATTAGGAAACACAAGTTAAAAGAAAATAAGAATTACTCAAAGTGCCGATCTTCAAGGATCACCACTAACAATATTGTGATGTATATTCTTTGCCTTTCTCATTATTTGCACATAGATATTTTCAAATGAGATAATTTTCCAAAAGGTACTATTGTAATCCTTTTCATTTAAGAATATATTTTTGAATCTTCTCCCCATCAAAACCTGTAGCAGGTGTCAGCAAACTTTTCCTGAAAAGTGACGACTTTAGACTTTGCAGACTGCATGGTCTCAGTCAAAGCCACTCAACTCTGCCTCTGTAGCATGCAAGCAGCTGTCGCAGAATGAATGGCGCCTTCCCAAAATTCATATGCTGCAGTCTTAGCCCCCAGTACCTCCAAATGTGACCTTTTCTGGAAACAGGGTCATTGCAGATGTAATCAGTTAAGATGAGGTCATACTGGAGTAGGGTGGGCTCCTAATCAAATATGACTGGCATTCTTAGGGAAAGGGGGCATTTGGGCACAGACACACATGGAGGTAAGACCCGGCGAAGACACAGACGATGGCCATTTGCAAAGCAAGGAGAGAGGCCTGGAACAGATCTTTTCCTCACAATGTTCAGAAAAAAACATACCCTTTGGACACCTTGATTTTGGATTATTAACCTCCAGAACAGTGAGACAATAAATTTCTGTGGTTTAAGCCACCCAGTCAGTGGTATGACGGCCCTAGCAAACTAATACGCAGCCATACCAATGGGCATGGCTGTGTCCTAATAAAACTTTATTTACAAAACCAGGCAACTGGCCAATGAACACAAATGGCTGATCCCTGACTTACATAATCATTTTTAATGACTGATTAATGTTCCTTTGAATGGACAAACTACAATTTATTTAAACAATTTCCTATCGATGGACATAAAGGTTGTTTTTATAATTTGCTGTTATAAATAAGCAATATAAAAATAAACATTTAGGGGTGCCTGAGTGGCTCAGTCGTTAAGCGTCTGCCTTTGGCTCAGGTCATGATCCCAGGGTCCTGGGATCGAGCCCCACATCGGGCTCCCTGCTCTGCGGGGCGCCTGCTTCTTTCTCTCCCACTCTCCCTGCTTATGTTTCCTCTCTCGCTGTGTCTCTGTCAAATAAATAAATAAAATCTTAAAAAAAAAAAAAACATTTATGGATAAACGCCTTTGCATATTCTTAATTATTTTCTTAGAATAAAATTCTAGAAATGGAATCCCTAGATCAATTGGTAGACATTTTAAAGACTTCTCTTCCAATCTGTAGTATCAGCAAGGTATGAAAGTACAATTTGATGGACAAAGAAAGTTATGTCATTAGTATCTTAATTTGCATTTCCTTATTAAGTTGAATTTGGGTACATTTTTTCATCAATTTATATTTCTTCTTTTGCAAACTGTGGTATCACTTGCTTGATAGTTCTTAAAGGGGAGGCGGCTCCATATACATTCATTCCCTTAACATTTTGCCAGTTATTATCATAGTCTTTCTCAGTTTGTCTTTTAATTTTGTTCATGATATTTTTGGAGCAACATACAAATGCTTCCATTTTTGTGTAGTTAAATCCATCAATTTTGTCTTCTATGATTTTCACTTCTCATGGTATATTTGTTTATAAACTTCCTAGCTTCTAAGACTGCCTCCTCCACAGCCCCATATGATAATAATAATAAAACCCATAAAAATAATAGTGGTAAAACTTTCCAGATTTAATTCCCAATGAGAATCCCAATAATTTAAAGTGAAGTCAGTCTATAAATCACTCCTTTGGCTAATTTATTGAAAAATTAGCCATCTCAGACAGATAGTAAAAAAGATCACGGATAGACACTTAGAGCTTTAATTTTTCTTCCTTCCTTCCTTTTTTTTTTTTTTTTTTTTAGAGAGTGTAGTGAAGTGCAAAGGGAAAAGGAGAGAGTCTTAAGCAGGCTCCACGCCCAGCGGAGCCTGATGCAGGGCTCAATCTCACAACCCTAAGACCATGACCTGAGCTGAAATCAAGAGTTAGACACCTAACCAACTAAGCCACCCAAGTGCCCCAGAGCCTTAATTTTTTTATATACTGCATGTATCAAAGTAACCACCGATTTACTCTGGACTAATAAAAACATTTTCCCTATAAAGATTCAGACTCTTTGGTTATTTATCATAATGGATAGGTGACAGGAAGTGGGGAAATTTAGTATGAATCAACACTACAACACTGTAAGATACAAAATAGGACATTTTGTGTTATTTTGTAAGAACTCTGCTAGAAATCATATTTCCAATGTGAGATTTGGAAGTAAAAGAATCTCTCTATTAATCACAAGTTCTCTATACTAATCACAGTAAAAACTGAAGCAGGAGAGGGTTCTCTGTGTCTTTTTTTTTTTCAAAGATTTTATTTATTTGAGAGAGACAGACAGACAGAGATAGTGACAGAGACAGCAACAGAGCATGAACGGGAAGGAAGAGGAGAAGCAGGCTCCCCACTGAGGAGGGAACCCTATGTGGGGCTTGATCCCAGGACCCTGGGATCATGACCTGAGCAAAAGGCAGACGCTCAACTGACTGAACCACCCAGGTGTCCCAGTTCTCTGCATCTTTACCTCTTGTATACCTTCTAATTTTTATTCTAGGAGGGAAGACGGTGTTGCAGCATGAAAATGCAGTTTTATGTAAATTTTTAATTTTAGAATAGATTTATATCTACAAGAAACATTCAAAGGTCGTGCAAAGAGTTC